ATCGTTGGCGCCACGCTCGGATCCAGCAATTCGCTAGCGAATCGCTTGATTCGCAAAGTATGACGTCGGCCGCAGTTTCGAAATATAGGGCCGTATGCTATCCTTCCCCGAAGGGGTTAGGGGACGAAAATTCCTTTAAATTTTCTCTGTCTTCCCAACTGGGATTGCCCTGATAAAGGGCCTACATTTAATGTATGTATGTAGGTAAAGTAAACATGCACTGAAAATGAAGAAACTATATCGTTCAAAACAAATAAATTTAAAGGAAACTTTGGATCACTAGCTTCGGGGAAGGATAGCACATGGCCCATAGAGGCATAATGAAGACGTAAGCACCACAGGAACTGAAGAATAGAGCGCCGCGCCGCCCCTTGGTCTCCCCGTCCAACTAAGTTAGCACTGTGGAATGTTGCATAAAGTTGTAAGTCACCACATGTGGATCCGTTTTGTTCGATCTCCACCTCCAAAAATAGCCTATCACACTCACTTCCCAGGTCCTCATCTGACACCTTCGACTGCGACCCGGTCGACATGGACGAGCGCTGGCAATGCGGCCACCACTACGGCAACAACCAAACACGAAGCAGGCGTGGCGATCTGACGGTGCGTGCTGGTAATCAGCAAACAAACACGTCTCCACGTGACAAAACGCGAGCCAAGGAGACCGCGACGCGACCGCGCGCAGTGTCTGCAGTGACGTCATGAAAACAGTTTGCACTTGGCAAAGAGCCAATTGGAGCCCTGAGCGGCGAAATTTGCACGACGACAAAAAGCTGAATGATTGTGTGTTTGCTTTCACAGTTACAGAATAGCGTCAGTACCGAGGTTGACAGTGTTGTCAGCAGTGCCCTGAAATGATTCTGGGGGAATTTTCCTAGATATGTGAGGTTTAGGAGGATTTCATGGGGATTTTGACAATTATACTGTTCAGAAGATTTTGAAACGTTACGTCGTGTAGAAGCTCGACTTCGAGTTTCCTCTGGGTTACCGTGGGAAAATCACAAATGGGCTGGACAAACGTGCCCCAGCCGGAATTTGTGACTGACGGCGTCTGCGCGCACGTTAAAATGGTACTCTGCGCCTGCTCACGGACTATTTTTGACAGAGACCAGGTTACAATGATAACTGTTATTGTTTAGGGGTTGGTAACCTTAGCGGTGATATTCGAGTGGTAAAGTATCGATCACTGCGAAGAATATCCGCGTTTTTTGTATTCAGAGCATCATTTGAACGTTCTTGAGCCGCTTCCATTACAATATCCAAGTTATTATATCTAGATCTAAACTGGTAGCATCCTAATTTTCTTATAGATATTCTCGTAACTCATTTCTTTTCATTGTTCCTCAATCAACACTTGTAGAAATCCGTATCTTATCTATTCGCGGATATAAGATCTTGAATAATTTTTTATTATATCGCATTTCCAAGCAGTTCATCAACACTGGAAGATAACGGCCCCTTGCTCACCTTCGACCCCCCAGAATGTTTCCCACCGGAGGTGGAAGCTCCCAAACCGTGGCCCAGGAAACCGCAGCACCACAACCTCGTCCTGGTCTTGATTTATTCAGGTACTCTGCTCAAATTCTTTACTTATCTCAATGTTTTATTTTTGTGTCATTTCTCATGTACAACCGATTGAGCTAACGCTTGCAGAGCTTTTGCCAGTTTAACCGCCCAGAACTCACACTCTCATCAGCCCACAAACCAATACATAGCTTCGTTGGGTCAGGTGAGTCGTGCACTATCTTCTTTGTTTGTTTTCTTGAGAAGTTCAGCTGGCCTACTTTTGGCAGTATGTTGAAGGACACCTAAGTTTATCCAATAGTTTAGCCATCCGTTCACGCTGCTCAATTGGCTGCTCAGCAACATTCACCTTCTATTTCGTTACTGCAACAAGGAATCAGTCGCCAGGTGAGTGACTTAAAATATCAAAAAGTGAGTAGAAGCTCTTCTTTACAAATGTCTTCCCGGTGCACTTCTTGACTATGACTATCAAACTTTTTTCAGGCCGCCGCGCATCAGGAAGCACATGTTGAACAGTCGAATCAGGTTTTCGATCTTCTCTTTTTAAATCATTTTTTATGTCATGGGAAGGAGTCTTTTTGTGAGAGAGGGTTTTGTTGTTGATTCTCAATGATTGTCTCGGTGGGCACTGTTTCCTATTCCTTCTATGCAGTTATACCATGCGTCACTCCTAATATCTCCTTGCACTTAGGCAAAGCTTCTTT